CACCACTTGAAACTAGATGAGCCTTTCGTGGCCATGGGGTGTGCAGTGACAGTGAGATCAGTCAGCGACTCAGCGGTCAGCGCTCACCATGGAAACTTGGATGCCGGAGGTGCTGCTATATACTAGCACTGTAATGATATACTACTGGCCTACACTGCACGGCAGGTTAAATATCGCTACCTAGTTGTGATGTGTAGCAAATAATCTGAGCGTACCACTCCGGCACGACCACTATTTCTCATCAATTGCCAAAAGACGATGGCTTCACAGGAATCTTTTTCAAGAAATGGCGGCCAACAATTAAATCCGACGTCATATATAGCTGCAGTCAATAGCTTCCACAACATCTGCTGTGCTGATCTCCTCGCAAACCAAAAAAAAAAATGTCAACTTGACAAATATCGTCCTCATCCCAAAGAAGGATGGTGCTGAAAGCATCCAACACTTCAGGCCAATTAGCTTGATCCAGTAACATAAATCATAACAAAAATACGAGGAAAAACACCAGCCTTACTTATGAAAACTGGACATCTCGAAAGCTTGTGATTCGGTACGCCGGGACTATCTCATCACCCTAATCAAACACAGAGGCTCCCCACCACGCTGGAGAGAATGGATGTAGCAATACTTACTTCATGATGCTCCAAAATCCTACTCAACGGATCCCACTTAGGTTGATCCAACATGGATGAGGACTGAGGCAAGACAACCCCTCTATCACCATTGCTTTTCATTTTGGCAATTGATCCTCTGCAAAAGCTATTCTATTGTGCAGCCGGGTTGGGATTTCTCAGCAAAATTGGAGGGGGAATGCTGCTATTCCAGGCTTCCATGTATGCAGATGATGCAGCAATCTTCATCAGGTCGACAAAAAACAAAGATGTAGATAACACAAAAGGATAACGCTCTAAATAACAAGTGGATTCGAGATGTAAACATCAGCGCTCATCTAGATGGATTTATATATTTATGGAATATTATCAGGGAAATAAGACTGCAAAACAATCACAAAGACACAAATTGCATGGAAGTTGAGCGCAACTGGGGATACTCGACTGCTTCGGCGTACATGGCACAGTTCATCGGATGTATAAAGGCCCCTCATATCCACTCCATGTGGAAAACCTAGGCTCCACCAAAACATAAATTTTTTTGCTTGGCTCATCATTCAAAGTAGAGTATGGACTTCAGACAGACTGGCACGCCAAGGTTGGACACACTGCCCGATATGCCCCCTGTGTAGACAAATTGCCTAGACAACACACACACACGCTTGTGGACTTAGGATACACTGGGAGCCTCTGCGCGGAATGGACCGGTCAAACCAAGCATGCGACCAGAAAACTGGCAGAGAAGCGCAGTGCAAGAACGGTGGACAAACATCACAACAGAGCAAAACACGCCTCGGAAAAGTGATCAAAAGTCTCATTCTCCTCATCTCGCCGTGTTTAGTTGAAGGGCAAATTCCAAAAAAGTACTAAAGATCGCCACATCGAAGTACGTGCATGAAAGTATTAAAGAAAAAGAAAAAAACTAATTACACAGTTTGGTGGGAAATTACGAGACGAACGTTTTAAGCCTAATTAGTCAATGTTTGGACACTATTTACCAAATAAAAACGAAGGTGCTACAGTAGCTCCAAAATCCAAAATTCGCGAACTAAACAAGGGCTCACTTGGGAAATTGGAAGGAAAGAAATGCTAGTCTCGACGATATCCCTTATGAACATCATATAAACAAAGCTGGTCGCTGCAAGGACGAAACAATTAGCGATTCTTTTAGCATGAGAATAGCTTACCTTGTCTTCTCTCCCCTTTAGGCTTTGTTTGGATACATGCGTATCCACCTCAATCCACATACATTGGAGTGGAATGTAATGAAATTTAGTTCTATTCCACTCCAATCCATTTCAACACACATGGATTGAGATGAATACATGCGTATCCAAATAAGGCCTTAAGGGGGAGCGTAAACTCTCTTCCATATCTCAATGAAATAGGCATAATCCCGTCTCCTTTTGTTAAAAAAAAATCCGATACGTACTACATAAAGGCTTACAAAAATCAAGAAAAATAAAACCCCCACTTTCAATCAGACAGTTAGTTACTACTAACTACATTCTAAAAAGTTACAATTCTATTTTTGGACTGACTTTTTAAAGCTTGATCAAATTTACAGACAACAACATGAATATTATAACTCCAAATATGTATACTATATTATAAAAATATATTTCACGACGAATTGTAACAATTGTTCTTATAATTACTTTTTCCCTGTTTCGACATATATATATGTCGTCTACGTCTTTTAAGCAACCAATTAAAACCGTTGATAGCACGTAAACCAGCTCATAGTCTAGTGTGTAGTACTACCTCTCAGGCTGACAGGACTAACAACTGCTACTGGCCGTACGCACGTATGCAGGGAGTATCTTGAGCTGCCAAGATTACTTGAAATGTTATTGTTATGCTAGCACTGCCAAGGCTGCTGACAGCATTGCTAACTAACGCTGATTTTATATATATATGCATATATCCATATGCTTTTTGTTTGACTAGATCGTCTATCCTGTTTTCGGTGAATAAAAATTAAGCCACTTTTACAATTGCCTGTCTAGCTAAGTACTTTGTTAAAAGCATTTCTATATTTTAAAGACCTAGAGCTGTATCTGTATTTCCATGTTTAACAAGTGTTAGAGTTAAATCCTAATAGTTGGAGAGAGAGAGAGAGAGAGAGAAGCAGTATTTTTCTCCTGATTTCTGGTGGGGGTACTAATAAAAAGTGAATTGGTGTTCGGCAAAGGTTTCATTCATAAAAAAGAAAAGTAGCAGTATATTCCTGCTGATGATGTTAAAAAGTCCCCAGTTTTATTTAACAATTGCATACGACCATGCTAACCCTAAATTGAGATGCAAATGCAAGCCACATATGAGACTTATCTGGTTGTCTATCTATCCGACCATGACACAGTGCATCCACTTTCGGTTTTCTGAATATTCTAGTGGATCCTAAATTTCCTTCCACGGCTCAATATAACTCGTTTATTCTGACACCGACCTGTGGGGACACAGGGCTCACAGATATCAGAGACTACTGGAGTAGAGGGGCTGTGACGCTGTGTATGTTGCCAATTTTGATGGTTGAATTTGCTCCTACCACGTATATATAGTATAATAAAGCGCCTTTTTAAGGTGTGTCTATCACTCTCATCCAAGAGATGGTGCCGCCCCCAACTTTTGAGGGCTTGCCAGCAACGCCTTTAGGAACACAGCCATGTGTAAATGTTTAGCAAATTGTTTGGGCAAAACAACGATTGATAATTAGATTGATCAAAAAAAGACAAATAATAACCTTTGTTATCCTTTTTTATTTATTGGTGTTGTATGTTAGCATAGATTTTGGTTAGCAACCATGTAATACTGTCATGCTCTAAAGAAAATTTTGGCATAATTCCTTCCATAGAAATGGCTACATAATTAGGGTATGTTTGGATACACTAGGATTATATAATTAGGTACTATAATCTAATTACGACCCAAACAGACTAGATTATGAGGTGGATTATTATAATTAAGATATTACATTACAATAATCTCATAATCCACCTTGGATCTGTTTTTTTTGTGATTATTACTATTTTCACTTGAACTAAGAATAATTCACTATAATAATAGAGGAATCTAATTATTGTAGTTCGTAATCCAGATTATAATAATTCTATGTACTCCGCCATCCTAAAATACAATACATTATTACTTCCAAAATTGATACTGAAAAAGTTACTCTCACATACTCAAATTTAGCTAAGTTTGTTATGAAGGAATCATAATTTGAGGATAAACTTCTTACATAGGTTTAATCCATGAGTATATGTATCATCTGAGTCTTTCCTTAAGTTGTCTTTAAATTTTTATACCACATTATCAGCCTGTTCGCTTGTTGGTTTCAGACAACCCAAACCAGCTAGCCAATAGTGTTTTTCTCTCAAAAACCAGCAAGCCCAAACCAGCACCAGCACCAATCAGCGAACATGCCCTATATTACAGGATGGAGATAGTATATAATAGATTATAATACTTCAACTGTGATTCAAGCAGCCCTTTATTCTAAAAATGTGTATCATACACAATAGTTTATAATTGTATAAATGCAGATGATCTACCTATTGTGGACCAAGAGACTAAAAAAGTACTCAAAATAAACAAAAATAATATATTCCACATCAATGGGTTCTTTTTTACTTAATGCCTATATCTTCGAACGTTATAATCATCAATTACCACCAAAACAAAATCTTTAGACATTACTCACCCCGTGTATAAATTAAATTAAATCACTCCTATGCAGCCTCATATCCATACAATATTTATTTATTAATACTAAATTAATTAATATAATCCCATTCCGATTTGGTTGCCCATTGTTTTTGTCCGAAAGATACTGCTCCTCCATCACCGGCATCCCGCATCCCGCATTCTCGACAATTAAAACCCCCGCCCCACCCTCCCACTCTTCCCTTTCCTCCTCAAATCCGCCCGCCATTGCTTTCGCAGACACCGCTCGTCGCTCGCTCACCAGCGCTTCCTTCCTTCCACCAGCCATTTCGTCTCCGTCGGCCATGCTCTCCTCCTTCCCCGCGGCCGCCAGAACCGCTGTGAGCCCGCGAGCCAACGTGTAGCTCCGCCGTACTGCACGGCGACGGCCCACCGGCGAGGAGCCGCCGACCTATGCCCCTCGACCAGTCCGGCATTGGCTGACCCCCAAATGCCTCCCGCCGCTATCTAGCCGCAGCCTGTACATACACAGACAGACAGACAGACATACACACCGTGCCGGAGGTTGAAGCGAGAAAATCGATCCCCGACGCTTCGCCGCCGCCGTCTCGTCGCCGCCGGAGAGGAGTTTTAGCCTCAAAGGCGTGATTTTTTTTGCCTTGTTATTTTTGTAGATTTACCTTTCGTGATTTTCGGACCGTGTTCTCGCGTCGTGCCGGAGACATGGGAGTTGTGGACTTCTCGGTGCTGGGCGCTCTGCAGAAGGTCAGATCCTTCGTCGCCGGCGCCGCGCCGGCTGAAGCCGCAGACGGCCGCCCGCCCGCCACGCCGAGGTCGCGTAGCGGGGGGCCCTCCCCAGAGAACTCGCCGCCGCCCGCGGGGACGAGATCTGGAGGCAGACGCGCCATCGCCCTGCGCCGGCAGATCTCCTCGCCGCAGCTGCTCCGCTGCCGCGCTGTCAGGTACTGTGTGCTACTACTCCGTTTCCGTCGCTTTGGAAAAGTTGTACATACAGTACTTACTATGGAGGAAAAGGGAAATGTGTTTTTTTTTTGACTTGCTATGGAGGAAAAGGGAAAGGTGTTTTTTTTTTCAGTCTGAAGTGAACGGATTGATTAAGATTGCGTGGTGCCACCTGCTACGATCTAGCAATTATTAAGTTAGCTAAAAGTCTTTGCCTTTTTTATTTGGGGTAGAGCTTGGTCATGAAGAAGACATAACGAAAACTTGTGACTGGCAATTAAGTGGTTGCGGGAGCAAGTAATTCTCACGGAAGTTTGGGCTTTTCATTTTATTTTTACATTTAGTCAACTATTGAGCTGAGTTTTCCTTGAATTGGTTTGTATAAATGCAGGCGAGCAGATGATGAGGACGATGATGAGCCTGGGGTTCAGTTTTTCAACCCTGGGAATGACTTCATACATGACTTTTCAGATATAGATTCTGTTAGTGTTAGTACCCCTAATGAGATCAACCGGTCCCTGACCCCAAGCCCCTTGGAGAGCCCGACTTGGATGGTGAAGCAGAACGACAGCTCATCGATATCCAGGAAGAATGGCCGTTCCAGCCCGGATTCTCCTGGATATGGTACAAAGGCGAGTTTAGGATCTGATGGTTCACTGCAACAGATGAATGGTAGCTTCACTGACAGTGGTGGAGAAGGAAGCAAAACTCAATATCCTGTTGATTTCGGTGCCAATATTTGGTCCCCACCACCACCAGAAGATGAGGGGGATGATATTGAATCGAGGTTATTTGGATTCGATGATGACGATGATGAGGTTGGGGATTCAAGCAGGCTTCTTGTTTCTGGTAGCTTTAGTGCTAACAAAATAGCTGGTATTGACGAAGTCACAAACATTGCTCAGAAAGAGGGTCTGAAGACTGCAGTGCTCGGTCATTTCCGAGCTCTTGTGGCTCAATTACTGAAGGCAGAAGGCATCGATATGGGAAACGATGATGGGTCTAAAAATTGGCTTGATATTGTGTCATCCTTAACTTGGCAAGCCGCAAGCTATGTGAGGCCAGATACCAAGAAAGGAGGCAGCATGGATCCTACTGATTATGTGAAGGTCAAATGTATAGCATCAGGGGATCCAAGAGATAGGTTTGTTTTTTCAATAGTATTTTAGTCGACTAAAATTTACATGGCTGTTCTCACCATCATGTGGAACTGATGAGTAATTTCTTTTGTACAGTAATTTTGTTCGAGGAGTTGTTTGCTCCAAGAATGTAAAACACAAACGCATGGTCTCTGAGCACAGGAATGCAAAATTGCTCATTTTAGGGGGCGCACTTGAGTACCACAAGGTTCCTAATAAACTAGCGTCTATTAACAGGATACTTGAACAGGTTTGTGCCTAGCATACTCTTGCTGTACATTTGTTTGTCCAATTTATGCTTTTACTGAAGAAATGCCCTTAATACAGGAGAAGGAGCACATGAAAATGATTGTTGGAAAGATCGAGTCCCGGCGACCTAATGTTGTGCTAGTTGAGAAAAGTGTCTCATCTTCTGCTCAGGAGCTCTTCTCGAAAGATATTTCGTTAGTTCTGAATGTTAAGAGGACACTTTTGGACAGGATATCAAGGTGCACAGGGGCACAAATTGCATCAGTTGACAGTATTGCTTCAGCACGGCTAGGTCAATGTGAAGTGTTCAAGGTGCAAAAAGTTACAGAATTTCCATCAGCTAAACAGACAGATAGGAGATCAAGCAAGACACTGATGTTCTTTGAAGGCTGCCCTTGGCGTTTGGGTTGCACGGTAATAATCCCTTTGCTTTTCTATGAGCACCTGATTGGAATGCACAGCTCATGTCATCAGCTAATATTAAATACTGTAGATGTTCAATCTGTTATGAAGAGTATTAGCACTAGATATGTATTTAGCTGATATCCAATTTCTAGTTTTAGTTTTCCAGCTCAATTATAACTGTGTCAATTTATGTAGGTTCTACTGAGAGGGTCATGTTGGGAGGAGCTTAAGAGGATTAAGCGTGCTGTACAACTTGCAGTCTTTGCTGCTTATCACCTTTCTCTTGAAACATCATTCTTTGCAGATGAAGGTGCAACTCTTCCTAAATTTCCCTTGAGACATGTGGTAGTTGAGCCAGGTATAAGAAACTGCACAAATAACAATTCTGCTGCATCGGCCACTATTGGTATGCCTCCTCATGGACGTACATCAGAACAGGACAAACTCTCAGAGACTGCTATGGTCAACATGATGTTTGAAAATACCTCTGTATCACCTAGTTCATTACCATTGAATGAGGAAGGCCATGGGTTTGTGGGTGCATGTGAGCATAAAGAAACTGAATATTCTGTTGATCATAAGAACCCTTGTGAGCATTGTGTATCCTGTGCAACTGGTTCATGCAATGGGCATGAAACATCGTTATGTTCACTGGATCATGACTCAAGGATGCAGAATCAGAATTTGCAGAACTCTGCAAAGCTTACATCAGATGCTCACCAAGATGAGCCTCTGGCAAAGAAATGTCAACAAGTAGATCACTGGAATAAAAAATCACATGATGATCACTCATCAGACCAGCATGACCTGAATGAATTTTCTGGTGAATACTTTCCTGGTACTGACAATCATCAGAGCATCTTAGTTTCGCTGTCCAGTACTTGTATCCCAAAAGGCTTCGTATGCGAGCGTTCCCATCTGTTCCGCATCAAGTTTTATGGTAGCTTTGATAAACCACTTGGGAGATACCTCCGGGAAGACTTATTTGATCAGGTACATCCCATTTTCATCTTGAGTATGTACTGTCATGTTGGACCTTCTCATAATAGTTTTCTAAACCTAATGGTTAACACTTTTCATATATTCATCAGGCATATTGCTGTCAGTCATGCAAAGAGCCATCAGAATCACATATCAGGTGTTATACTCACCAGCATGGTAGCTTAACAATTTGTGTTCACCGACTTCGATCTCGAAAGTTGCCTGGTGAGCGTGATGGAAGGATATGGATGTGGCACAGGTGCCTCAAGTGCAAACCTAAGGACGGTGTTCCACCTGCCACACGAAGGATAATCATGTCTGATGCTGCCTGGGGTCTGTCGTTTGGGAAATTCCTAGAGCTAAGTTTCTCAAACCATGCTACTGCCAACCGAGTTGCAAGCTGTGGGCATTCACTCCAGAGGGACTGCCTTCGTTTTTATGGGTATGTGTCTGCTATATTCTTTGCAATATCATATTGTTCCGTGCTCCAGTGAGATTTCAACAACTCAAATAAAATTCCAGGTATGGAAACATGGTGGCATTCTTCAGATATTCTCCTGTTGACATCCTCTCAGTTAACCTTCCTCCATCAGTACTGGACTTCAACTCTCGTAGTCCACAGGAGTGGCTAAAAAGGGTGGCAGTTGAGGTGTGCTCTTTTATTAAATTTGAAACTATGTTCATCCTCTGCATCCTACACATCAGTTTTAGCATGAACAACATGTGCTCATGTATTTGTTTCTATAGATATTTGGCAAAATGGAAGCCTTGCATGTGGAGGTGTCTGAATTTCTTCACCGTACTGAAAAAAACATTGTTACTGAGGATGAACCTGTGAAGGAATGTGTTCAAAGGCAGATTGTCGAGATGAAGGATTTGCTTAAAATGGAAAGAAATGAATATGAGGTGGCACAATCAGACTTTCCTGCCATATCGTTAACTTTTATCAAGAGTTACAGCGATTTTATGTTGATTTATTGCCCCTTTTCTTGCAGATATTGCTTTTACCAGTCATGAGTGAAAGCAATCACCCCATGCAGACATCAATTGATATTCTGGAGCTCAACCGCTTGAGGCGTGGTCTTCTTCTTGATGCCTACATTTGGGATCGGAGGCTATGTCATGTAGACTCAGTTCTTAAAACACATGGCCATGTTTCAAAAACCAATCCAGACAACCTTGATGTTCTCTTATACACCAGACTGAAGGAATGGAAAGCTGATTTGCTTTCTGGGGATACTGAGATTGGAAAATCTTTAGGAAGTCCAAGGAAATCTTTGTTATCCAGAGAGGGCCATTTGAATGATAATGAATACAGTGTTGCTGATACAAATTTAGAGATTTGTTTGGAGGGTCATCCTGTGGATGATGCAGAGGATCTTGACAAAGTCTACAACAAATTCAATGGAGGAAAAAAGTGGCCTATTGCTGAATCTACTGATGGTTTGGAACCTGTTGAGAGGTTACCCTCACTTGCATCGATTTTTTCTGATAATATCGATTTGGCATGGACTGGGTCTTGTGATTTGCAGTATGATCTTCCACAAGCTTTCACCAAAATTGATGACAATGTATCCTTTAATTTGGACAGTCCAAACTACAACAATATAGTAACCCCTGTTAGAATTCACTCGTTTAATTCTACACTGGGGTTGCGGCAGAGAGAACGAACTGGATTAGCTCCAGCTTCTTTGCATCTACCATCATTCAAATCTGCTGAGTACTTTGGGGGTATGACAAGCATCCTGAAGGACCCAATGCCAAATATACGAAGGGCCTGTTCTCAAAGGTCTCCTGGGGTGATAGAGAAATTAAATGTTGTTCTTGCACGCACACCCACATATATCTCATCTGCTTCAAATATGATCGATGATGGGGCACGGTTACTATTACCCCAAATTGGATATGAAGATGTTGTCGTGGCAGTATATGATGATGAGCCCACCAGTATTATATCATATGCCATGACATCAGAAGAATATGTACAACAAGTAACACACAGACTGAATTCCAGTTTGAGTTTTTCTCATCTGCCAAATACTACTGAGATCAGCAGCCATGGACTTGAGGCGCCCTCACCCTCTCAACAAGACCATTTGCATTCGAAAGGAACTCATTTTAGGTTTTCCTTTGATGATGACTCACTGATTTCTCCAGATAAAACAAAGTTCTCTGTGATCTGCTATTTTGAAAAGCATTTTGCTGCGCTTAGAAAGAAATGCTGTCCCAAAGACATTGATTACATACGTTCTCTAAGTCGCTGCAAGAGATGGAATGCGCAGGGTGGAAAAAGCAATGTTTACTTTGCAAAGACGATGGATGAAAGGTTCATAATCAAACAAGTCACGAGAACAGAGCTGGAGTCTTTTGTAGAATTTGCTCCTCAGTACTTCAAGTATTTAATGGAATCCTTGACTTCTGGTAGCCCAACTTGCCTGGCCAAAATAGTAGGGTTATATCAGGTTTGTTTTTGTTCACTCGATGCATCATGTTTTATACAACTGTAGAGTGTAAAAGTAAAACATCACCCTGAATTCTATTTTCCCCTTTTCACTTGAGTTCAGGTTAGTGTTAAGGGCATGAAAGCTGGGAAGGAAGTGAGGATGGATCTGATGGTGATGGAGAATATTTTCTTTGAAAGGAAGATATCTCGGGTGTATGACCTAAAGGGTTCATTGCGCTCACGCTACACAGCTGGGGACAGTAAAGTCCTCTTGGATTCAAACCTCATAGAGGCATTGCATACTAAGCCTATATTTTTGGGGAGCAAGGCAAAACGAAGATTGGAAAGAGCTGTCTGGAATGATACTTCATTTCTTGCGGTATGCAACTACATCTTTGTGCTTACTGTTTAACCAATATATTTGAATACTTAATCAATTTGCCAAGCTACTACATAAGAACTAAACTATGGACTATAATTTATTTATAGGTGTTATTGTTACATAATTGTTTTGGGGATATTGCCGGATGCTAACTCTTTTTCCATGTTTTACCTGGTATTTGTCACCCACGAAATGGGTGCCCTGCATCTAGTTTGGAGTCATGTTATGAGTACCACTTCCATCATGTTATAGGTTTCCAGATTGCCACAACAATGTATTTTGCAATATGTTATATCTTGCATGTGTTTCCCCCCAAGTTCTGTTGAAGTAGTTCACCCTGAGTGGCTATGTTGATCTACCTCATTCCTCATCTCCATGTATACCTATTTCAGATGGAATTTGCACTATTTATATACTTTTCGGCAGTGATTGCCCTACAGAGCATTTTTTTAATATTAAACTAAAGTGGCATTTAGTATCCATTGAATTGAATAGGGGTCCTGTCCCTGCAATGGATGTGAACTTGGAGTTGTAATTCAGTCTGCTATGCTTTGCAGTTGGCGGATGTCATGGATTACTCTCTCCTTGTTGGAATCGACGAGGAGAAGAAAGAGCTCGTCATTGGCATCATCGACTACTTGCGCCAATACACCTGGGACAAGCAGCTGGAGACCTGGGTGAAGGCCTCAGGTATTCTTGGTGGCCCCAAAAACGAATCCCCTACCGTCATATCTCCAATTCAGTATAAGAAGAGATTCAGGAAGGCCATGTCCAAGTACTTCCTCACTGTCCCCGACCAGTGGTCCTCTTGACGACTGACTAACATGCTCTATCGATTATCCGCCATAACCAGAAGCGCCGCCGCACCATAGTACATGTCCATTATTCTTTCTGTGCCTAGACCCTAGAGTGAGAGAAATAGTCAATTCATTTTGTGTCCGCCTGTACCATCTGTAGTAGCCATAGACAGAGATACAGGAGGGATCATCCTTCAGCTGGATGCCAAGCATGGCCATCGCAGTGTCCAGCTACAGATAGAGGCTTGGTCCATGACTCCATCTCCATGTACATTACAACCAGAATATATAGCTCAAAAAGGAAATTTGTCGACGGAATGCAGGAAATTCTTTTGATGCCCCTGTGGCATGTATGCAGACTGTTGCTACTACTTTGTATAGAAGAGACATCCAACTTGAAAAACTTTGTCGCTTGCAGACTTGGACGTGAATGAAATGGGGTTTGAAAGAGGGGAGGGACTTCATGGAACTACCAATACAAGGACATCAGGTCGCTGTATTGAGTCGTGCCCATGTATACATCATCACTGGCCCTGTTTGTTTTTCTTATAATCCGTACTTTTCAGCTTCTTTTTTCAGACGGAACAGTGTTTTTCTCTCACAACAAATCAGCCGGAATATTGTTTTGGCTTGTTTTTTCAGCGAAGCGAACGAGGTTTGGTTGGGAATAGTTCTCCCGTGAGAGTGAGACAACAAGGAGCTTTTAGTGCTTGAGATCAAAAGCACCGAGGACGAAACTTGTCAATAAATAATAACAGCACCTGAGCACTGGACCATCTTTCTTCGATCAGGTGGTGTCATTCATGGGAGATCCGATCCTATGCGCTCGCTTTCTGATCTTGACGGTTCTTGTCAAATAGTCGTAGCTAGTTTCACACAACAATTAGACATCGTCTTCTAGACAATACGACGCCAAAGCACTACGTGTGACGCCAGTTTGCTCTTTGGCACAGTTGAGCTTAGGACCTTAGGAGTGCTTGTCAGACTAGCTAACCAACTCAAGATCTGAGGATTGCTTGTCATACTAGCTAACCAACTCAGCTAGAGTCCCTTTCGCACAATTAGTTAAACTAAACATATATACACAAAGACACTCAGCTAGAGGATTGCTCTTGGACACAAAGGAAGGAGTCGCGCGCCCACAGCCCACAGCCCACAGCCCAGAGGCCGGCGTCGGCGGGAGACTGTTGTAAGAAGAGGGGTTGGTGCTATCTGCCCGCAGCCTCCGACCCGAACGTGTAGTGGAGTGGTCAGCTACTAACCACGTGTGTCAGAGCCCAGCAAGCTGCACCCACAAGTCTAACCTAACCAGCCAGCCACTGAGCGACCTTAGCTACTCCAATATGTAGTGGAACCACCTACAAAGTACAAACAGCCTCTTCAAGGCGTCGGTTCGGTTCACGGGCCTATAAAAATGCATCAAAGCATCCTGCTCTGCATGTCTAGCAGCTTGGAGCTAGCATTGGACGTCTTCAGGTAACAAACAATATCTACTGATGTCTTAATTCAGAGCATCTATTCATGCTTGTAATCGATCTTTCATCTATTGCTTGTTTTGTCGCAGTAGCGTAGCTTCGCAACAAAACAAAGTAGAATATACATATAAATAGATATGTATGTGCGACTGATGATCTCTCTCTTTATTTGTGTTTCATGTATTGACAGGTCTCATGCATATATATACGTACATGTATCTTTGGGTGATGATGCGCGCTCCGTGCTGGGCTCTTTGTCAGGTAAACAGTCCTTGGATTTGGGCCTCGAGTTCGTTGTCTGTTCGACCTCGCATTATATTCACTTGAACTCACACTGCAAATTTTCATCTTAACTAACTCGGGGAAGGAACTGGGGAAGGCAAAGTACTTTAACCATTATTAATTTCTATCGGAATATATATATATATATATATATATATATATATATATATATATATATATATATATATATATATAGGTTGGAACCACATGAAACATATTGTAAAAACTATTTTTAAATTTGTGATGAATTCACGCATAACAATTTCATATATGTACCTGTTTTTAATATATATAATGAATATACTATTGTAAATCTAACTCGAAATTTTTTGGATGCACACTGTGCAGAGCTTCTAACTTTTCTGTGGTTGTAGGCTTGTAGCTAGGGAGTAGTTTGTGTTGTCATTAGTAATATTTTGCTTTCAGATAGAGAAAAAAAAAGGATCATCTGTCTCTTGAAATTGGATAAAATAAAGTACCCACATCATGTAGATAGATACTCCCTTTGTTCCAAATAATAAGTCACTTTGACTTTTTTTGGTTCATCCATTTTACTATGTATCTAGACATATTATTATATCCAGATGCATTATAAAATGGATGTACCAAAAAAATCAAAGTGACTTATAATTTGGAACGAAGGGAGTACACTATAAATATGACAAGGGAATCTCGCATTGCGCATAGTTACTCAGCTAGCTTTAGAAAACCTTGCTATATTGCCAACATCAACAAAATGGCTACGTTAAGGTGTACCATTGTACACACGCCCAAGTAATAATAATATAGATCCTGGCGCAACGGTATTCATGTGCAAAATTGACGTGGGGTTAATGTACGTAGGTTTCTGTTGTAAAAAAAAAGTACGTAGGATTCTGTATTATTTTCTTTTTAACAGAACTTAGAAGATAATTTAGTACTCTCTCGTTCAAAATTATAAAGACGTTTTGGCTTTTTAAACATATATCTAGGTGCATAGCAAAACTTATTACACACCTAAAAAAACCGGAACATCTAATAATTTGAAACGGAGGCAGTACTAGAGAAAAGCACCAGCTTTAAGCATAAATGGAAGATACGTCAAATAGAAATCCAATAACAGTTTCAGAACTCCCCGCAATATAATATATCGACCATTTGCTTGTGTGCTTGTAGAAATGGATACAGATCGATCTACCTACTTTATTTTATCTGTAAAAGAGTACAAAAATGTGAAAAGCAATAAGATTATTTTTTATCTCTAAGGAAATAAAATAAAATAAAAACATATTACCCTACTATATAGTATGCATTCTCAATAATAAGAGGTCGAATGGGCAACGAACTTGAGCGCCACAACAAAGGACTGTCTATTTGACAAGGCCAGGTATGGAACAACATGCATCATGTATCACTGCACCTTTTCGTCATTGTTTCATCGATTGCCTCCAGGCTCTCTATACAAATACTTCCCCTCTATTCTAAATGGTAAGACGTATGTTTTATCTTTTCTAATACATTGCTTTTATTATACATCTAGGCATAATATATATCTAAGTGCATAGTAAAAGCTACTCCATCCATTCTAAATTATAAGGCATTTTGGCTTTTGTAAATATATTCCTTTTGTTATGTACTTAGATATACATTATATCTAGATACTTAATAAAGAAATGTATTTAGAAAAGTCAAAATGTCTTATAATTTAAAACGAAAGACTGTGTATCCAGAAAATTCAAAACGTCTTATAATTTGAAACAGATGGGAGTATTTTGTAGTGCAAATAACTTGAAATCAGGTTAAACTAACTTCTTCCAGGTTTGCATTGTACTCAGGGACGGAGGGAGGGAGGGGCTGAGGGGGGCCAAGCACCTCCTATGCTAAATGAATTTCTCATATTTACATGATATTTTGCTATATAATTCAGTTGAATTATCGAGTTACCCCCCTAATAATATATCTTTTAGCACTTGGTCCCTGCTATCAATAATTTCTATCTTCGCCCCTGATTGTACGGTCACATGCCTTTCATGCTTTGGCCATTTAGACAGCTAGTCTCATTACTGACAGTTTCAAAGTGTCATTGCAAGTAGTTTTCTAGCCATTAGAGACTTTTGTGCTAGTGGTTTACTAGTTCCATTTTAAATACGATGGAGCTTATCTAGTTTATCCTAAGGCAAACTACCCTAAGCCTATTTTGTGCCAGCGTCAGCGCCAGAGTGAATGGAGCCACATCAAACCAAAGTGAATGGAGCCACACCAAAGAACTATTCTGAACGTGGAATAGAATAGCCGACGCTTTTTAGGCACACGGAGGTGAAGGTACGATTCGAGGCTCCGGCGCGGGAATCCTACTGGCCCCTTTTTGTTTCGTCGAAATTTGACTTATGTTGATTTTTTATGAAAAAAAATATCATTCATTCGATGAAAAGTACTGTTAAAATAGTGGTGAAGACCCGGGCAGAAGATACTTAGAAAAATGAGGTTTTATTTTAAAAACAATGTTTTACCGAAGCCAGGTTTGAAACGCAACCACGAATACTACAAAATTTAATTTTTTTGCTTACTTCACTTTTTATCTGGCAAACTACAGTGCAGTGCAATTCAATGCCTCTGCTGCGGGTGTTTGGTCTGTGAGATCCCTCTGCTGCGGGTGTTTGGTCGGTGAGCGGGCCAGCTGGGGTGTGGGGATAGGGGAACACAACAGGTGGGGTTTGGCACTTTGGTGGCAGGCGGCAGCAAATGCGTCCAGTCCAGCGTAGGCGCCGGCCCGGCGAAACTCATGCGATTGTAAGTTTTTTCACTCTCTCTTCATTACATCAAATCTTTAGACACATATATGGAGTATTAAATATAGATAAAAAAATAACTAATTATACAGTTTGATTGTAAATTACGAGACGAATCTTTTGAGCCTAGTTAGACCATGATTAGACAATAATTATCAAATACAAACAAAAATGCTACAGTACCGAATACTGATTCCTCACTACAGTCTAAACCAGGCCTCAACGGAAAAACAAACTGATGCTCTGCCTCCTTCGAGCACAGCTCAGCAAAGCCACTCCCGCTATTTCAAATTTCGAGGCCGCGGCTGTACTCGATGGCGCCACGAAATGTCGTCTATGCCCTCAGATTGTTGCATCCGTTTCCAAGTCAAAAGTTTTACCAGAGGTCGACGGATGGATTTGTGTACACGACAACGAACTTTTAAGACGGATCCAATGTGTTGGAGTATAAGTTTATTGTTTACCTCTTTTTTAATAGTTTAAACTTTTG